GTCAGCAGAAATTTGTACTTGGACATAACTTTCTGAATCTTGTAAATCCTCTTCTCTCAAAGCCCCAGAAGCCCTTGGTTACCCCAGAGTACTGAGTCAGTGGCTTCCATTCACCCTGACTCTGTTTCTCAATGGGAGCATGGCTGGCATCTTGCTGGGCTGTTATCCCCACACAAGACTCCCCACTGCCTTGTAGGGTGTCGCCTCTCAGCTTCTGCCCCTAATGCGAGTTGTGCTCCCACCCCTAAGGTGGTTGTAACAAAAAAAAACAACAAAAATAACAAAAAGCAAAATAACCCACACATTTCCAAAGACCCCTAGGGGGTTCATGCTGCCCCCTGAACGGAGTCACTGGCTGTCTTTCCAAAGATAGGTTCTACCAAAGACCATCAAATCTTTCAAAACTTCCTTAATTGATTAGCCTATGTGTTAAGCACCCACAGTGCACGGTGGGGGCAGGGCAAGGAGACTAGGTTGGGCTTGTCTACCAGGGGTGAGGAAGGGGGCTGAGGGGCTGGGTGGAGGCCTCTCAGCAGGGTTCTGGTGCAAAAGCTGCCCCCAGCTCCAGATCTCCCTGGCCCAATAAAGGCTGCTATTTAGAAACATCTAAAATGCATGGTGCCTTTTGTTTTGGGATGAGCTGCCCCTCTCTCAGAGAGCTGATCTTAGAGCCTGGGTCTCCAGGGAACAGCAGTCTCCTGGCTCTGTACCCCCATCTCTATTTGGCAGCCCCCCTCTTCAGTTTCTTGACTGCGCTCTCAATTAATAACCTGCCTTCATCTTCCTTCTCTCTCCTTTCTTCCCTGCTGTCATAGACTGAATTGTGTCTCCCCAAAATTCATATGTAGAAGTCCTAACTCCCAGTACCTCAGGAAGTGACTGTCTTTGGAGATGGGTCTTGAAGGAGGTAGGTAGTTAAGGTAAAATGAGGTCATTAGGAGGGCGGGCCCTGATCCAGTACCTCTGGTGTCCTTTTAAGAAGAGATTAGGGCACAGACACACACAGAGGGAAGACCACGTGAGGCCACAGGGAGAAGATGGCTATCTGCCAGCCAAGGAGAGGGGTCTCAGGAGACACCAACACCGCTGGCATCTTGATCTCAGACTTTCAGCCTCCAGAACTATGAGAATAAATTCCTGTTGCTTAAGCCCCAAGTCTGTAATATCTTTTGGCAGCCTGAGCAGACTTATACAAAGAAAGACTTATACAAAACAGACTTATACAAAGAAGAAAGAGACTTCCTCTCTTTCTTCACTTAATGATTCATTGATAAACCTCTGAAATGTTTATCAATGACACACTATACGCTGGGCTCTGTGCAGGAATGGATCCCTTCAGGTTCAGTACCGGCCCTTCTTTCATCCCGAGAACCTGCCCTGGGCAGTGGCATTCATTCCCAAGGCATCCCACACAGGCTTGAAGATGAAAAATGAATCAATTGTCTTTCTCAGGTTCTACCCTCACTGTGAATTACAAACTCTAAAATTCAACATTTGTCTTAAATCTCTGTCAACAGTATTGGCCATACTGGACTCAATGTAGCCCCTTCCTCTAAGCTTGCTCTGCCCCTTGTACCCTTCATCCACTCTGTGATGCCTGGGGAACCCTGTGACAGCTCCCCAATGTGTGGCACCCACAATTGTTGGGATGAAGTCCAAACTCCTGGGCCTGGCATTTGGGGGCCTCTAAGGCTTTGTTCCTGTCTAGCCTTCTAGCCACATCTCACTCCCCAGATATGACTGGTGTTCTAGGCCCCCAGAAGCCCACTATGGGATGTGAAAGTCCTTCTCCATGCTTTAGCTTCTGTGCTTTGACACATGTTGTTCTCTCCCCTGCAACAAGCCCCTCACCTTCTGCCTTCAGAACTCTCCTAGCATCTTTAAGGTTCAGTTCAAGGGCTACTCTTACTGTAAATGTTTCCAGCCTGACTAAGAATAGGAAGCAGACATGGCCTCTGTTGTGGTCAATGATACAGCTAACCTGTCCGGTTCCTAATCTTCTCATTTCAATTCCTTCCACTAGGAGCCTTCTAGAATCCAGTCGCCATTTTTTTCTCCTATCTAGCCAGCCTGCAGAGGTCCCGACACCAAACTCATAGTCATTGCTAAGGTTGTGGAATGGCCCCAACTTATCAGGGTCACCATGGAGTTGGTTTGGTGAAGCTCTTTATACCTACACATACTGTTGGGCTTACAGCTTCACATTTCCTTACCTTCACCAGTGCCCTCCACACAGCTTCTCCAATTGTACAGGGGAGAGATGCTGCAGGTTTCATGAGTGTTCAAACAGTCACTGGTGGCTCCTCGCTTTCCTTCTAATTGGATGGACCCATCCTCTGTAACCACCATCTCTTCTTGTCCTCCTCCCCATCAGTCAAAGCTGAAACTCCTTTATCTAGAGTCTACTTTTTGTTCACTCCATTTTAGTGATAATTTAAGTGTTTGACTAACTGCATATAGCAGTTAAATGCTTGTGAAGAGTAAGGAGGAGGAAATCTTAAATATTACATGTGTAAATCCAGACTGATAAAGCAGCCCAGAAATCTGCCACAGACCTAAGACAGGGGGTGTTAAGTTTTCCTTGTGGGGTGAGCAGGCAGGTGTCAGGGTGAAGTCTTTGCTACTGTGGTCCAAAGCAACTGGAAGATTGTTGGGGTTTAGGTATATGTAACATCCTTGTATCATGCAGCAAAGGCCTAACCAAGATGGTCTAGTAGATTATCTGGAAAGCTGAAAAGTACTGAGAAAACAGTACAATGCAATGTATCACAGAACTGTAAGGAAGATAAAAATCTCCAACATGGTGCCCATTTGGGCAAAGAGAAAGCAAGGCAAGGGTGGGCATTTAGATCTAACACTGGGTTGAATGTCTGCTCAATTGTATAAGGAGAGACTGACATTTAGAGAAGATGCCATGACCAAAGTAGGAATTGGCTCCTCCCAGTGTGGCCAACATGTGTAAGGGGCCTCTTCTACTTTCCAACAACTGGGAGAGTAAATCCTAAGCACAAGGGTGGGATGAGGCGGGGAGGTCAGGGTGGATACCAAACAGTCCTGCCACTCTCTTAGCTCTCTGCTCAGGTGAAGTCATGTTGACATGCTATTTTACATATGTCACCTTCATCTGGAAAATGAAGTTCAGAGAGGGTACATGGCCCAGGACCCACAGCTGTTACCCAGGGTGGATGCTGGTTGGCTTTCAGAGTCAGCTCTTCTTCTGGCATAAATCCTAGTTCCTAGCTCAGATACCAGGTGTCCCATAGGACCCTGGACAGATCTCTGGTCTTCTTTGAGCTTGAGTTTACTGATCTGAAAAATGGAGCCTGGGGCCCCACAGGGATGGAGTGTGAGTCTTAGTTGATCACTCATGCAAAGTGGTTTCCAAGCTCTGGTCTGGAAGTTTCCTAGGAATGTTTGCATTCCTGGGCTGTAAGATCCAGTCTGACACTAGTTATTGTCCTTGGCATCAGCTTACCATCGACTCCCCAGGTCCTTTCCTCAGCCTGGCTGAGGAGTGGGGTTGCTCTTTCCAGTCTGGCTGGCTTGATGGCCAGCCCAGTCACTGCAGGGCCCTGCTTCTTGTGAGGGTCTTCCAGCTGAAGAGCCCTGTGGGGATCATGGGCCCCAGGACCCTGGTAAGTGTCTGTGATTTGGAGAAATCACAAAGGTTTGCACCCATTGGCCCGGGCTGCACGGGTGAACAGTCAGTCCCTCCGTGACATGCCCTGGGGTCTGGCACCAGCCAGCAACACCGCCTCTCTCCTTGCCTTCCCCAACCCTCCTCACTATGCTTCAAATGAAGGAGGTATTCTCCTCCTCTTCCAGGGACCCACTCCCAAGCAGGGCCGGCCTTTTCTGGAACCCACGAAAGACCTCCCTTGACAGACACACACAAAACATACCTAACATGCTCTTGCTCTAGAGACCCTGGACTAACATATCAGCTGGGCTCAGACCCCATGGTTAGGACCGTGGTGAAGAGACCAGATATTGGCCTAGAGTGACCTGGGCTGAATGGCCTTGTCACACCACTCTCTGGCTGTGAGATTGGGTGGGCTCCTCCATCTCCCTGCCTCCGCTTCCTTAGCTATATTGATAATAGTAATGATAGCTGACATTCATGGGCCAGGGACAGTGCCTTACCTGGAACTGCCTCACTTAATCTTAAACATTGCATGACATAGCTTAAATATGCCTATTTTCCCATTACGCAGATGGAGGAAACTGAGGCATATGGAGATGAAGGGACTTTCTCACAGACTTACAGTGCCAGGATCAGTAGTAACATGTTGCAGAATACCTAGCCCAGGCTGGGCTGAGGACTCCAAGTGGTCATTATTTTTCATAGTGTCCATACACTGTGAACTTGTGCTTGTGGAATGTCTCAATTTCCCAAGGGTCCCCATCCCTGACAGCCCCATTCAGGGCAGCAGAAGAGGGCTCTTCAAGTAACATGTTGCAGAATACCTAGCCCAGGCTGGGCTGAGGACTCCAAGTGGTCATTATTTTTCATAGTGTCCATACACTGTGAACTTGTGCTTGTGGAATGTCTCAATTTCCCAAGGGTCCCCATCCCTGACAGCCCCATTCAGGGCAGCAGAAGAGGGCTCTTCCCTCTCAGCTGCTCCTTGACTCACAAAGGTCCCTGGGGAGTGACCTCAGGGTCCACTGGGCTGGCCTCAGGTCAGTGCAGCCACTGCGTTTGGTGGTTTCCTGTGACCCCAGCCCACCCCCAAGCTCCAAGATGCCTTCCCCTTACAGTAACTGAGTCTGTGATGAAGAGCCCGCGAATACCATTGCAACTGTGCCTCCGTGACCGGTGATCACCTCTCAGAACCTCAGTTTTGCCATCTGTGAAATGGGGTGGTGAAATGCGCCAGCCACTGGTCGCTGAGCGCATGATCGCGGGGCCTCGCCCTGCCCAGGGCGGCGGGGCACCCAGCAGCCTGGCCCGGCGAGGGCGGGACGCCGAGAGGCGGGCTGGGCCCGGGCAGGGGGCGGGCGCGGGGCGGGCTGCGCGGCGAGGCCGGGTGGGCGGCCGCGCTGCTCCCGCCTCACAGCGCCGGCAGCAGCGGGGAGATGCGGCTCCTGGCGCTGGCGGCGGCCGTGCTGCTGGCGCTGGCTCCGGCCCTGGGTAAGCGCGGCGGGGTCTGGCGTAGGGGCCCGGCGGCTCCGGAAGCCCGCGGGTGGGCGAGGCAGCCCGCGCTAGGCAGGCCGGGGTCGGGACTTGGGCCTGGCCGGGCGGCCCTGCCGCCGCCGGGCGCCCCCTCCACGGGCCGGGATCGGCGCCGGCCCTGAGGCCGTGCGCGTTCGGCGGAGCGCAGCGGCGCCTCCCCGGCCCGCCGCCGGTGCGGGCCGCCCTGCCCTCGGCTGCGGGCTCCAGCGCTCGGCGGGGCCTCGAGCAGCCCTGTGCCCCTCCACCGGCCAGGCCTCAAGGTGGGAGACTTGGGTAGGGGCGCACAAGCCCTGGCTGTTGTTTTCTTTTTTTTCTCCCCAACAGTCAGCACCGACAATTGGTGGCAGGTCAGTCTGAGCAGCAACTTCCCCTGAACTCACTTCGGAGAGCTCTTGGGAAGAACCAGCCAGAAAGGGGCTGGGGTTGCCCTGGCTGCCGGCTGGCGACCGGGGACGTGTTAGTGGGTGTTTCGCGATGATCGCGCTTGGTGAAGTAGGGTATCCACGGCTGGATGAGGTGGGATGCGCGGGGGCGAGGGGGCCCTTTGCCCGAGCATCCTGCTTCAGTGGCAGCCCCCATCTACACTGCTGGCTTTCATGTGGGGTTTCTCACTTCTAAGCTGCTGAAGAATTTTCTCTTTATTCCTCAGGCCCTGCCCTCCTGCCTCAGGGTTGGAAAGGCCATGTTGGCTAGAATAATAGTGATAACAAATATATCAATGGCTCTCATATTTCTTGGGTGCCTATAGGGTGCCAGGTATTGTGCTACACATTATCTCATTAATCACAAGGACCCTTAAAAGAGCAGATATTTATATGTCCAAGTCCTTTGCCAACATTAATTCAGTTAAACCTACAGATATCCCCTGAGGGAGGTGCTAATATTATCCCCATTTTATAGATGAGGAAACTGAGGCACAGGCCAATGAGTTGACTTGCTTTAAGGCACAAGGCTTGTAAGAGTTGGAGCTGGAATTTGAACCAGGTCAGCCTGGCTCTAGACTCTGTGCTCCTAAGGCTAAGCTGTGTTGCCATTGTTTGGTAAATAAGCTGATGCTCAGAGTTAAGTGATTTTCCAAGAGCGACCCAACTACCCAAGGTAAAACTGGCACTGGGGACAGAATAAATCATAGTCTGAGGAAGAGGGACTTGCATCATAGCTGGAAGAAATTCACTCATTGTCCCCTGGCTACCGGTGCAGTAGGGTTTCCAGTGAACCTAAGTTGGGGCTGTGGGAAATGCTCTTAAGACAGTAGTCACTGTCTTGGTTGACAATGACTGGAGGTTTCACTGGGATGGTTCGGCCAGGTGAGCCCTGGTGGCTTGTGTGGAGTAGCCAGCAGCCAGCAGGGTGGAAGGGGTCATGGAGTCTTCATTACCCAGGCTCCCTGACCACCTTCCCAATTGCAAATGCTGCCAAGGAAGGTGCCCCCAGAGAGCAGCATTTTGGGGGTCAAGGACATTCTCATGTTTCCAAGAGACCTCAGGAGCCTAGAGGGCTGGACTGTGGGTACCTTCAGAGTCTGCCCTGGCTGTGCCCAAGGCCATGCCTTGGATAATCAGCACTCACTGTGTGCCACTCACTCTTCTGAGTGTTTCGTCCACTACTCTTCATCATGATTGCCCATGGGAGGGCCTGGGACTGCTTTATACATAAGTCTGCCCTCTTAACTGCTGTACTTTTCTACCTTTTGATTTTGGGGTGGAGTGGAATCTTAGCAGTCACCTGGTCTCATCCCTCATCTTACAGAAAAGGAAACCTAGGGGAAAAATGTTTACTGAAAGCCGAGCTGTGGTCCAGAGTAGTAGCTGAGAATTGTCATTGAAGCCAGGCGGCTCAGGTTCAAATTCCAGCTCGGCCACATTCAGTGTGCAAGTGACTTAGCCTCTCTGTGTCTCAGTCCTCTTGTCTGCCAAATAGTGGTAAACATAGTATGAGGACAAATTGAGAAAATACACCTAAAGGGCTTAGAACAGTGGTGCTTGGCATAGAGTTCACATTCAGCAAATGTTAGCATTTGTCACTGGGTAAGGCCATGTGTTTGTCCTAGGTGAGAACTATTTTTAGATGATGGGCTTAATATGAACACATCACCCTGCAGGCAAAGTCTAATAACACCTCTGTTTGGTGTGTGATAAACACTGGCTCCTAGTGCTGTGGTTTTTTAGGTAATACAAATTGATTTCTTTCAGAGATTTATTTGTTATAAATTCCAAGTACCCTTTTAATAAGAATGAGATTTCCCTTCTGTATGGTACACATAATTTCAGTTCCTTATAAATGCAGAGACTCCTGGCTCCCTGAAGTGAGTGGGGGCAATTTCTCTAGGACAGAGGAGTGTAGGGCACAGAGCCACTAGCACATCACTGGCCAGGTCAGAACAGACGGTCCCTGCCCATGCCCACCTCTGCATCCCAGGTGAGGGGGGTGGCTGTTCTTTCTATTAGAAGTCCTATACTCCCCTGACCTGGAAATTTCTATTCTCCTCTTCATGATGAGTGTGGAGGGAGGGGGAAGGGGAGGGTGTATCCTAGAGGAGTAGGTCATGTATTGCTTGGCTACATGAATGTCCTTTAGGCTCTTTTCAGTGTTAGTCCTTTTCATGACATTATCCATATGGGAGCAAGAGGGTTAGAACCCATAAATCTTATCCACAGGAATTTAATGTTCACTGATAGCCAGCTATATAATTTGTGTGATCCAGTGCAAAATGGAAAGGTGGGACCCCTTATTCCAAAATTATTAAAATTTCAAGAGAGTGACAGCAGAGATTAAACTAAGTGGGAGGCCCCTCCAAGCATAGAGCCCTGTGTTACTGCAGAGCATACACCCAAGAAGCCACTGTGCCCACACGTCACTGTGTGTCACTTTCTATTGTCCTCATCTGCCCAGCTCTCAGGGCATGTAAACTAAAATCAGTGTTTTATAGGTGTTTTCTCACTGGAGCCTTACACCATCTTCTCATTTTTCAGATGTAGAAACAAGGTGTGAGGCCTCACACGTAATAGAAATGGGTCTCCAGCCCAGGTCTGTTAAACACCAAGCCCTGACTCTCTGCCGAGCCTCATCAAACCAGTGTGAAGGCCTGGGGCCACGAGCATCCTGGTGCCCAGTGCATGTGGGGCTCCCAGGGCTACCAAGTAACAGGTGTGCTTGCAGCATCCCGAATTCCATTCCTCTGTTAGGGTCAGTCTCTTTGCTACCATGTTGTCATTTCTCCTTTAAGACCTGGCCTTGGGGGCACTGGCTGGGGTGGAAAGTCCCCTCCTGAAGTCTATCCGCCAGGCATGGGTGACTTCCCAGGCCATGGCTCAGGGCACTTCACCAGAGGACACTGCTTTCCAAGATTTATTTGTCATAAATTCAGACTATTTCCAGTCTGCACCAGGTTCTTCCTGCCTCAGGGTCTTTGCACGGGTGGGACGCTCTCTCAGGAGGATCATCATTCCTCACTGCTGCCCTGAATTTTATTCCATTAACTTCAACTCTGTCTTCATCTCACAGCCACCACCCCAGGGTGTCTTTCTTCTCTGACTCCATGGACTAGATTAGGATCTTGCCCCAATTTTCTTAAGCCCTGCACCTTTTCTCTGCAGCATGTGATGACATTTGTTGTCATATACTCCTCTGTCTTTTTCCCAATGACACACTTGACTCTCCAGCTGCCTTGTCAACTGAACTCTCAACTCCACGAGGTTAGTAATGCTGTCTTCTTGCCCAGTGCCCAGCACATCGTTGTTGCTCAGCAAGTATTTGTAAAGTAATTAAGTGAACAAAGTGTGAGCAGGACCATCAGCTGGAGGAAACGGGGACTCTGAGAGTGAGGCACAGGGGTGGAGAGCAGGGCTCTTACCTCCCACCTCAGGTCCCTGCAATGCAGGGTCACAAAGCAAGAAATTAAGTTCTTGCCCAGGCTATAATAACTTTGATGATTCTTCCCTCCTAGGCCAGGAGAGAAGATTCTGCCCTGCTTGGGGATGTGGCACCCATCCTCCCCTGTCTTATAGCTGCCTTGGCCTTTCATTGCTTGGCTTGCCCTTCTGCCCTGCAGTGTGTTTGCTTTTTCCTTCGGGAAAGAGCCAGAAGGGAAGGGCTTGGGCTCTCATGGGTACCATAATCTAGTCAGCCTGCCTCCATATACTGTTCCCACAACCTGATCCCACAGCCATTTTTCTCTGCTAAGCCAGTGAGGCCTGATGACAGGGGCAGAAGCTGTGTGGCACTCTCTTTCCTGGTATTAACTAAATACCCAGCTCAGCTAGCATTTGCCAGGCTCTGGGTCCTCTACCCAAATTTTCTCTCTTCTCTCCCAAGATGCCACCACTCACAGTTGAGTGCATGCGAGCTGTGCTCACCGCACTTAAGGTAGCCTCTCCTGTGCCAAAGGGAGGGTGTTACTGGGAACACCCTCAGGGAAAGCTCACTGAAGGCCCATACCCCGTGACCTGAGAGCCTGTGTCCTCTAGCAAAGCTTTAAGACCCTGAGGGGCCCTTGGGTATTAGGGTTTCAGTCATACCCTGCCATACCTAGTGTTGAAGGTGGGAGGAAATAGTGTTGAAGTGGCTGATGTGGGGCAGAAATGAGCCTTCTTGTGAACAAGGTTGTATTGGTATGTTTGGGCTACTCAAACAAATTGCCACAGACTAGGGGGCTTAAATAACAGCAGTTCTTTTCTCATAGTTCTGGAGACCAAAAGTCTGAGATCAAGGTGTCAGCTACACTGGTTTCTTCCCAGGCCTCTCTCCTCAGCTTGCAGATGTCTTCACCCTGTGTCCCCACGGTGGTTCTCCCTCTGTGCTCATCTGTGTCCTGATTTCTTCTTATAAGGACTCCAGTCATGTTGGATTGGGATCCTCCCACATGGATTCATTTTAAATTAATCACCTTATCTTCATGTTTAAATGCCTTATCTTCAAATATGATCACTTCTTGAGGTACTGGGGGGTTAGGGCTTTAACATATGAATTTGGGAGTGTGCAATTTAGCCCATGACAACGGTCTTTGCCTGTCAGTGGGAGAAAAGTGCGTAGGCCATTGGTAAAAGCAAATGGGGCTCAGTGAAGGTAGAAAGGCACAAGGTAAAGAGAAAAGGAGGCTTCACCTTGGAAAGATGGCTTAGCCCATCCCCTTTCCTGGGAGCCACTAACTCCCGGCCTGAGTTGCAGATGTGGAAGGGTTACTAGTTTGCCTCTAGGATGGAATCTCGCCTCCTATGGGGACCGGAAGCACTTGGCATGTTCTCCTGGTTTCAGTCACTATAAATAATACCTCCTTCATGCAGCATTAATAGGAGGAGACTGGGGTGTGGGGTCTCGCCTGCACTCTCATCACACCCATATTGTTTCAATTTCCTGCCTTCCCTGGCTCTCCCTGACTCCAGTGGGGAGCCTTTGAGGGCAGGAAGAGCTGGACTTCAATTCTGAAAGACAGCTGCCTCATCTCTGCCATTCTCTGCCTGCTGAAGCCCTGGGCAAGCTGTTGGGTTGGGTCTGCCTGGTGTTCCTGGCTGCTTATCAGGGGGCTCTTGCCATGGAGGCCTGTGTGAACTTCAGCCAGGGCTCTGGCAGTCAGGAGGGAATGCCCAGGGACTGCTTTAATATGGCGCATGGGTAGCATGCATAGATGGCAGGGGAGCAGTTCCTCCTCTTGTCCTACATGAATGACTGTGTGGGCATTGGGATTGCTGCTAGAGAGTGTATGCCTTCCTTTGTAGCTGCTGATCTGAGTTCTCCAGGTACCTCCTTGGCCTCCTTGTCCATTATCATTGTACACATATAAGACCTGATTCCTGTCCGCAAGGAGCTTGGAGTCCAGCTGAGCATCAAACTTTTTCTTCTGTATTTATGTCTACCTATCTTTTTAAAGTAACAAAAGATTATCATGATGTGATAAAAGCTGACTAATGGTCCCCCAGGTGTCTGTGTCCCATCCCATGGAACCTGTGAATGTTACTTTATTTGGCCAAAGGCACTTCATGAATGTGATTTAGTTGAGGATTTTGAGTATCCTGGTGGTCTGGACTTCTAAGAGATAAGCAAGAAAATTAAAGAATATTGACCCTCAATCATCTCTTTCAAGGTGTTGAGTTTATTAAATAAATAGTGGAAACCAGACAATAGGATGAGCTCATTACCTGGATTTTTACATTGAAGACCATTTTTATGACACACACGGGGCCTCACCTTGTTGATTCACAGCCTCCTCAAAGTGGAAGCTTCAAATATTTCTTGATCTCTTTTTCATCCTTCTTCCTAGCTTACCTGAAGCACAGAGCTTTTGGTGACTCACATCAGGACCTAGGCCCCTTCATGTGAGTGGAAGGTGGCAGCTGGGAGCTGAGAGCTCTGGTTTGGGTTGGCCCTGGGGACACCTGCCTGTGCAGTGAGGTGGGCAGGGGGCAAGGGTGCTTCTTGCAGTTGTGCACTGGGCAGAGCGAGGCTGAGGGCATGAAACCTGCTGAGAAGACAGCCCACTTGCATGGCAGAGGCTGCAGGCATCGAGGGCACACTGCCCTTTCTGGCTCCAACTGCCAGGAGGTGCTCCATTTACAAGCTCCAGGGCAGGACACCATGCCGCTCCCCTCCTGGGGGAAGGCCTCTCTCTTTGAGGTCTGCTGGTCTGGCTGGTCTGGGTGGCCGTTGGAGTGGTTCCTCAAAGTAGCTCAGGGAAGAATGGTGGCTGGTGGTGGCAGGCAGCCCTGGGGGTGGATCTAAGAAACTGAAGGACAGAAAGTAGTGGAGCAGGCCTGGGATTCTGTGCATCGTTTGGCTTTTGGGGAAGTTCTCTCATCTCTCCTTGTTTCTGACCTTGTTCATCCTTTATTCCTGCACTTCAGCTTTAACACCATGAATCCAGAGAAGACTTAGAGGAAGAAACAGAGCAATCTGTTGTTCTAGCTCCCTAGTACTAGTTCAGCACCTGCCTGACCAGTACCGATAATTGCTTTGGTTATAGTTGAAATGGCAGAGACAAGGCAAGGGGCTTAGAAAGGCACGCCCCAGAGCCACAGCATGGCTGACCGTAGGCAAGTGATAAAACGGCAGGAAGCAGGCCTTGGGGAGATGGGCAGCCGGGATGAGATGTGGACATTTTTAAGAGCTTCCAAAAATCCACTTCTTGATGTGACACTCCTGAATTTTAAACACCAGTGACTAATTAAAAATTTTTAAGAATATATTTGGGTCAGGCTGTCAATGTCATCCTACATGGACATGATTGTCTCACTGATGAGGACGTGGGAGCCACACAATATCCCCTCATCTGCCCTGCTCCAAGAAGAGTCCTTTTTCTGTGCAGAGGCACAGAGTGAGCATGGAGCGGATGGGCGGCCAGCCTCTCTGGTTCTTCAGGCCACTTGCTCCTGCAGGAAAGTCACACTGTGTGTCTGTCTGGAGAAGGGCAGTGGCCTTCCTCATTTTCTTCCTTTTCTCTCTGCAGAGGTGTGTGGGGCCCTCAATGTCACTGTTTCGCCCGGGCCCGTGGTTGACTTCCTGGAAGGGGAAAATGCCACCCTTCTCTGCCATGTCTCCCAGAAGAGGCGGAAAGACAGCTTGCTGGCTGTGCGCTGGTTCTTCGCATGCCCCAACTCCCAGGAGGCTTTGATGGTGAAGATGACCAAGCTCCGGGTGGTGCAGTACTACGGGAATTACAGCCGTAGGGCCTCACGGGAGAGGCTCCGCCTCCTGGAGGAGAGGTGTGGGGCGCTCTACACACTCTCTGTTTTGACCCTCCGGCCAGCGGATCAAGGGCATTATGTCTGCAAAGTCCAGGAAATTAGCAAGCACAGGAACAAGTGGACAGCCTGGTCCAATGGCTCCTCGGCAACAGAAATGAGAGGTAAGGGCATGTCCACTCTCTGTGGAGAGGGTTGGGGTCCAGGTCAGGGGTCCTCCATCTAATCAGCCAGACAGCAGCCCCCAGATAGCTCTGCTGGGCTAGAACACATCTCAGCCCCTGTGGGTCATAGCCATGTGAGCCAGGCCATGGGGATATGGGTAGATATCTACTAGGACACTAGGTTGATGTGGAAGTAAGTTGAGGAAGGAGCATGTACCTGGCCCCATGCTGCCCAACCTGCTCTTGGGCAAAATCTCCTTCCAGCCTGAAAGATTGGACTGGCTGTGTACTGGCCTCCAGCTCAGGTCTGTGTAGCCTTGATTGCTTTGGCTGGAGGGTGCTGGCACCCGAGAGAGGAGGTGCGCACTGGGAAGTCCTGATGTCAGTTGCCAGGCCTCAGAGCAGGGCAGGCTCATGGCTCTGATCCACTGCCCAGAGGAACTGATTCAAGCCTCAAGCACTAGTTCCCTGAGAAATTCATCTAAAAGTGGGCAAAGAACCAGAGGTAGCCCTCCAGTCCTGGAGACAGATAGGAGGCATGGGCTGCGTTCCGGATTCTGGAGTGTCTTAGTTGCCAAGTGCCATATATGAGGGTTATCATTTTTTATCACAAATGTTCTATTCAATAAAACACCTCTCATATTTTTAGTAAAACTTGCTTTTGTGTGCTAAAGTTACATTTTTGATTGTTTTGAACTTGAATTTGATCTGGCACAAGATTAAGAGGATCACAAAATAGGAAAGGAAACATTTTATTATATACATGTAATAGCATACCAAAGGCATTAGTGATGTTGCTTTGATAAGCTTTTTTAAGGGATACAACTCAGCTGTGAAAAGATATTTTTTTTTGGTGGAAAGGGTAAAGGTATTTTTAAACATCCTATGTGAATAAGGGATATGTTCAAGTAGATGACTTATGAAGATAGTGGTTAATTAGTCCAACTTTGTCTTTGGAGTTTGCTTATTCTAATGTTGTTAAGCACAGAATGATGCATATCTGAAATGTTGTGTACTTTTTTCCTGAAGCAAATTCATTTAAGAAAACAAATGACTATGAGTATAAATATATGTTTTGGCACAGAAAACCGAAAAATACATCAGATGAACAAAGGCTGAGGAGGGAATTCATTCTATATATCACTTGGCTTAGAAACATATGATTTTATTTATTTCCTTTTAATTTTTATGTCTCAGTGTATTCTGGAACTGTACACTAGATCTCTTAGCAGTCAGACTGTCTGCCAATTACAAGAGATAAAAGTTCCTGCATCCAAGTGTGGACAATCGTCTGGTTCCTTATTTAATGTGAATCTACTTTCAGAGAGTGAAGCCGGGTGCTTTCTGGAATATTTCTTTGGGTACTTGGTTCAAAACCCTGAGTTAGTTCATAGTATTTCACTGGAAATAAAGATCCCTTTTCCCCACTCTATCTCCATCCTTCCATCTCTTCCTTTACCCCTTCTCAAAACCTCTGTATTTCTCTTCTTCCCCTTATGTCTCCTGTTCCTCCCATTTCTGTTACACACACACACACACACACACACACACACACACAC